TGAGACAGGGTCTCACTATGTAGTTCAGACTGCTCTGGAACTCACTGTGTAGCTCAGGCTGGTCTCAAACTCCCAGTGATCCTCCTGCCTCAGCCTCCCAAGTGCTGGGATTACAGGTGTGCACCACCACACCTGGCTTAGAGTGTCTTTATAAACAGACCTGTTGACATAGGCCTGTAATCCCAGCTACATGGGAGGCTGAAGCAGAGGGATCATGAATTCAAGACCAGTTTGAGCAATTTAGCAAGACTCTGTCTCAAAATAGAAAAAATTGTAAAGGGCTGGATAGGTAACTCAGTGCTGTAAACCCTAGTTCCAGGGGGAAAAAATCCAAATAGGCTCAGAATACTCTCAGTACCAAGTAAGTACTTTTGATGAGTCTGTCAAACACAATTTAAAATAGACTCCTCTTAAATCCATCCAGAACCCACCACCATGCATAGCAGAGATGTGTTTGAAAGGAAAGTATTCACACAAACACTCATGCATAAAGGTTTATAGCAACATTATTCTTTTTTTGGGGGGGGTAACGGGGATTGAACTCGAGACCTTGAGCTTGCAAAGCAGGTGGTGGAACCACTGAGCTAAATCCCTGGCCCTGGAACGTTATTCATAATAGGCCAAAACTGAAAACAATGTACATGTCCCCTAACTGATGAATGGATAAATAAAATGTGATAATTCACACACAAAATATAATTTGGCCATAAAAAGGAATGTAGTACCTAAACACACTACCATGTATATGATCCTTGAAAATATCACACTCATAATACACGCTCAAACTCAATGACATATAAAAACTCACTACAGTGTGTCAATCATACCTCAACAGAGTGGTTTTTCAAAAGATATTAAGTGGGAGAAGCTAGACACAAAAGGCTACAAATTAGAAGATGCCATCTGTATACAGAAAAGGCCGATTCATAGAGACAGAAAGCAGATGAGTTCTTGTATGGGGTGTGGAGTGACGGGTAAGGTTAGGAGATGATGGCTAAAGCGTATGGAATGGAGCTTCTCGTGGGAGTGAGGAAAATGTTCTAGGGCCACGACGGCAAAGCTTTGAGAGCTTTCCATGATTCGGTAAACGCGCCATAGGTTCGCCATCACTATTCCAGGGGCCGGGTGCAGCTCAGTGGTAGGGCGCATGCTTAGTATGCATGAGAACCTGGGTTCATAAGCGGGGTGGACAGGGAGGAACAGCGATGCAAAACCGACTGTGGTAATGGTTGTACAGTTCTATGAGTCTACTAAAAACCATTGCCTCAACAGAGCTGTCGGGGCAATAAATAAAATCAGCCTAAGCGAGCAGTGTTGCAGGAGTTCTAACAACAGTGTATGAGGCCAGCTACAAGCACCCCTATCCCTGGACTTAATCCTCACCCAACTCTCCCTGTTCCCCACCAGGTGCCTTTATTAACCCCATATTCCAGGTGAGAAACTGAGGCTCAGAGGAATTACTGAATGTGCGACGAGCTGGGGCAGGGACCCAACATGGGTAGGGAGTGCTGGCTCTGTAACCAGTACCCATTTGGGAGACAGATAATCTAGAATCCACAAAGACAACCTCCCACCCTAGCCTCTCCCCGCGCCACCCCCACGTCTTCTTGGAGCTGTCATTCAAGGGGAGAAGGACCCGCCCCGGCCTTGGACGCTTCCACTGCCGGCTGCCTCATTCTGGACTGTGTCAGCCAGGTAACAGCAGCCCATGGTCTGACTCCAGGAATTCAGAACGCCGTCAGATGCCCAGTCCCACACCCTGCAAAAGCAAACTCGGCAGGGATTTAGAGAGCAAGGCCATTCATTTAGATACTCTTTTAAAGAGAAAGAGAAACAATAATTTTTTCAAAATTAAATTTCAGTAGTTCATGTGATCAGTGGTGGACTTTGGAAGAGACAAGAGGAGCTTCGATTCTCAAGTCGGCTTTGTTCAACAAACGCCAAAGGGCCAGCTCCTCCGCTGCTCACTCAGATGCAGTGAAAACAGCTGAGTTCATCCGAAACCTCCCAGCATCTGACCCACACTGAGAGCGAGTGTTTAGCTGGGAAACAAAGGGGATATTAAATGCAGAAAACCCCTTTGTGCCTACACGGCCACAAGTTATGTGGAGTTACGCAGCTATTCTGGAGACAATAATGCTTTGTAAAGTAGCTTTGTCGAAGGTGTCGCTGTGCTTGGCTTGGGACTGCAAGGACTACATGGAAGATAAGATGGCATGGCTGTGACTATCCTTTTGAAAAATAAGAGTGACTTAACTCAGACACAGATAATTTAAAAAATTTTTCTTTTTGGTTTTTTGAGACAAGGTCTCACTATGTAGCCCAGGCTGGTCTCGAACTCACAGCGATCCTCCTGCCTCAGCCTCCTGAGTGCTGGGATTACAGATGTGTACCACCACGCCCATCTCAGATAATAAATATTTGAAAACTGATTTGTCTTTTATTCTACCCACAGGCAGCTGTACATTAATACCTGGAGATGGTTAACAGTAAGGAAGTAAATTGAGCCCTCCCTTTGTTTACAGAGGACATTGTTTATGAAGTATGTTTCACGCACCCCCATAAGGCCAGTGCCAGTGTGTCACCAGCCCAGCTGGTACAGTCTGGAGTAATGCATTATTGGGCATGTTGTATTTTAAGATGCAATGACTATAGATATTTTTGAGCTTGCATTTATTAAGCTCATGTAATAGTTGCTTTTCCATTCTACAGCTATGTGTCTCAGCTTCACAGCTAGGAACCAGGGGTCCGTGGGCTGTCCCAAAAGGCAAGGACAGCTAAGGATTTAGCTCAGTGGTTCTGCTGGCTGCCTTACAAGGACAAGGTCCAGAATTCAATCCC